AATACCGTTAAGTGTTGACCAGATTATACCATGGCATAAATCACGGGCGCCTTTTCTAGTCAGAGCACTATGGCAACAGTCATCCATACAACTGCACAAGGGGACAATGCTTTACACGTGCATAATCTACAAGAACACCGAGACTCGCTATGAACTGCGAGGCCCATCTCGGCATCCCCTTGTCCGCGTGAACCTTGAAACCCTAAACCCAACCCTTAACCTTAACCCTAAACCCTAAACCCTAAAACCCTAAAACCCTAAACCCTAAAACCTCAAACTCTAAACCCTAAACCTGCAAAGAACTGAAATCTGAATCTCCGAGCCCTAAGCCGTCAACCTCTGAACCCTCAACCCGCTTAACTACTAAACTTTCCGAAACATCTAAAGCGCCAGAAAGCCTTGAACTGTCAAAATCCCCTGGCCTTGACGTACTTCTCACATCGTATGCCATGGTTTGCCGGCCTCTGGCTGATGTCGCATGCCCAAAAAAATGCTAACCTGTCGAATTATAGTAGGTTTATAAGAGCCCCAAAGGTTAAAGGCTACCTACTCAGCCACTAAGCATTGGTGGGGCAGAGGGTTCGAGACTTTAAGTCAGGTCGCTAGACTTCTCAAGTTAGTCTCAAGGCTTGTGCAGCTGCAGAATAATGCCAAGCGTACGTGGGGTTTACAGGCCAGGACTTTCGAGTTTAAGGCGGGCCCTCTTGCAGACTGCGACTCAAAGCAGCCTTGACCGGATTGTTAGGAACCCAAAAAAGCACAAAAGCAAAACATAGGATAGGGATATCCCATAAGAACCAAGGTAGGGATATCCCTGTAAACTGCTTATGCTTACGTCCATGCTGGGTCCAAAAGTTGTGCTGCTGGGCGGATGCCAAAGACTTGGGAAGAGAGCTCCGCGGTTTAAGGCCTCGAGAGTGTTAGGGTTTAGGGTTTAGGGTTTAGGGTTTAGGGTTTAGGGTTTAGGGTTCAGGGTTTAGGGTTTAGGGGTTTAGGGCTTCAGCGCTTCAGGGTTTGAACGTCATCATCATCATCAGCAGCAGCATCAGCACCAGCATCAGTATCAGCATCAGCATCACCATCATACTATTGTTATTGATATTCATCTTTGCCTTCATCTTCATCATCAGCATCACAGTATCATCATTATTAATCATCTTCGCCTTCTTCTTCTTCATCATCATCATCACCATCATCATCACCGCCATCATCATGATCGATGTCATCTTCACCCTCCGTGCGCTTTTCATATCTACCTTCCAACGTCATAGGCGGTACTTTCGTTTTAACGTTAGCTGCTGGTCTGCTCGTGGCAGACCGAGTCTCAAACCTTGCGAAGAGCTTCCGAAATTGGCCCCCTTTGCAACAAGAATGCCCAACTGTAGGGGCCTTAATAATCAGAATAGGGTTTTGGGCTCCTTTATAGTATATCTATAATAAGGAACCCTAACAATAATATGGGTAATTATTTCGGCTTCTATATTATGTGAGGGTTGGGGGTTCAGGATGGGAGCTCATGGGTTGGCGGGCTAGGTCTTGGCCATTGACGGGGTGGCTTGGGGGCGAGTCATAGGGGTCGGGGCTCGAACAAAAGCCCCAGAGCATCACCCAAACATACTAGCTTACTAAAGCCCAGGGATCGCATGTGTTTGGGATAAAGGGACATGGATTGACCACAACATTAATTCTATGTTGGATCCTTCTGTGTATGCAAGTCTCGCTAATTGCCCAAACATGTAAAGATGTAGTGGGTTACTATTCCTGAAACACTGTATCACCCATAGTAGCAGCCACCAGCTAGTTAGGCACCTGAACTTCTAGAGGCTCACGAACGCCAGCGTCCTAAAGCAGCTGCGTTGCGGTCGCAAGGTGCCCTGCCAGTCCTGAACAGAGGCTTGGGGTTGACGGTTGGGTTTAAAGTTAGGGTGCAGGGCTAGAGGCACCGTATGATAGACCTGAGAAGCTTGAGAACATATAATGACATATACCTTAAACCGAGATGCAGACTACACGAAGTTGCGTAAACGATTTTGATCCTGCAGTCACTTAAAATTAAGCTTATCCCCACTCCCTCGCTCTCCTCTTCGTGCTTGCACATGTTCAGCGTCGGTCCGGATGGACTTGGTGACCAGTCGTACTGCTGTCTCTCCCTTCTTCATGTATTCCCCCTCTCATCTAGCCCAGTTGCCAAATATAGGCCCTAAGAAGCAGAATAGAACTTGGGGAGTCTGGATTATATTAAAGTTATGTTAAGGAGCCGTAGGCAATTAAGACAAATTAGCACCCGCATCTATAAGGCTACCGTAAGGATGCGGCAAGGATACTATAAGGGTAACTTACTATGGGTGTACGTTACGGATGCTATAACGCTACTAGAACGGCACTAGATCGCAACTAAAAGGCTAGTCGGCTACTTGAGGCTACTGCAGTCCATAAGCTTACTACAACTCCCTCAACCCTAAACGTCCTGTCCTACCTAGAACAACTTGAAGGATGCGCGCCCGTCCTCGATGAGACCCACGTGTCCCGGAGTGACGCGCTTCATCGACATCATGGTCAGAATGCAGAAGGACATCCCTCCTGTCAGGGTTTAGGGCTGAGGGTGGAGCTGCAGGAAGGGGTAAGAACGGAGAAGTACCTCCCCGCTCTGAGGGGCTTGGGTTGCATTTTGGTTTCGGGATTTAGGTGGGGCCGTTTCTTCAAGACGGGACAACAATGCAGAAGGACATCCCTCCTTTATGGGTTTAGGGTGGCGACCTGTAGCAGGGGGAGGATGGCGAGCGAAATGAGAGGCTGCATGAGACGACTGTAACCTAGCCCTAGACTCTATGGCAAAACGGTTCAGTATTGCTCTCCATGCACAACTGCATATAGAGCCAATATAGAGCATGTGGTTCGTTGCACCCCCGCACTTGGGGTACATTAGGGCTCCTTCTTGGAATGACCGCATATTAAACCACAACATCCAATTCCGACTATGTAGGCCCCTATATTCATATCATATATTGAAACCATACCACCCACGCACTGGCAAGTAATCGGGACACCTCTTCGATCCGCCCAGTGATGCATTGAGACGGACACCTCCAAATGCATCAGGCATCCGAAACCCTCAAGACCTGCCCCAAGCCCAAAGCCCTATACAGCATGCTGCATGTCGGGATCTGCGTGCGGTCTCAGCGGTGCAGCTTTTTAACTTTCATGCGATTTTCGGTGTTCGGAGTCTCGCGCGACTCGGCAGTGCAGGCGAGGCTTTTCCGGTGCTTAGGACGTAAGGCCCAAAGCCATCCAAGCTATGAGCAGCAGGGACGCAGGCTGTAACTGGTGCATTGATCTCCGGTGTAAGGTGTAAATGCCAAAGCTCGGCAGGTGTGCGAGCGTGAAGGCCTACAGGCGGGAACTCCGACGCCCTGAACCATTGCAAGATAGGAGCCGCAACTCCTGCACCTTTGACATCCAAGCCCTAAACTCAAAGCCCTATACCTTACATTAAACCGCTAAACCCTAAACCCTACAATAAACTGGCACCTTCCTCAGAAAGAAACACCCCGGTCCTCCAAAGCGAGCGAGATTCCTCCGCAAAGCGTTTGGACTCGAAACAGCTAGCTTCACGTTGCTTGGGGGTGGTTTAGGGTTTTAGGGTCTAGGTTTTCGGGCTTTGTTGCTTAGGGCGTTCTTGATGTAACGTCCTAGGCTTTCGGGGCTGCTGTACTGAATAGACTCGGGCCGTGGTGCAATTACTCTGTTGGAAAGGGGCCAAATGGCTCGTCGACGTTTAGGGTTTAGGGTCTAGGGTTTAGGGTTTAGGGGGAGCTCTCTCCATGCACTGACAGAACTAACCTCACGACACGGCTAAACGGCAGCAGCCAAGATCTTCCTGCGGCTCCACCAGCCTGCCTGCTTATTTCAGAACTATACACCATGCATCCGGGAGGCCATAACCTACTAAAACATTTTTTGCTACTGGACTCAAATCCAGTCAGACCACGACCTGCTAATGTAACCCCAAACCCTTGAACTCTTCAACCTTCAACCCTACAGTGTCGCGTTTGGGACTAAGAGATAGGGTTCCGAAACGGTGTTTTTCGGTTTCAGCTTAGACAGGGAAGCCGCAAGCTTCAACGAAGCAGCTGTTGAAGTTGATAGATTTGGATGGTATACGGAGGCTAAAGTTAGGGTTTAGGGGTTCGGTGGTATACGGAGGTTTTAGTCGAAATCTAGGGTTTATAGTGGTTCGGGGGTATACGCAGGTTTCAAACAACAACTTCGGCTGGAAGATTCGCGATGTGAGTCCGGCTGGGTGGACCTGAATGGAACCAGTCCGGAGCCCAAAAACGCACCAGTCCACCAAACCTCGGCCTCAATACCAAAAACCATACCTGTAGTCTGCATTGTAGTTCCTTTTTGGGGATACCTTATAAAATCCTTAATATATAATTGGTTAAACCAAAATCGGAACTACAATGGAGACTATAGGTACACCCGAAACCAACTCCAAACCCTCGACTTCACCCCTCAGCTCCACTTTGCTGAGCTCCCCTGGCACCCAAAAGGTTATTTGGGCTTGGCAGTTGGGATCGGGGAGTTGGGAGCTACTTCGGAGCACAATTCTAAATTCTGGCCCTAAACCCTAAACCCTAAATTCTGAACGTTCAGTCTGGGGTTGAACGAAATGTATTCACCAAGTCCATCGAAGAATTGAAACACGGCCACTGCCACTGGTCCCACACCCTATACCGGACATTTAATTACCCTGAGCCCCAACCGGCTACTATAGCTTGAAAACAAATGCAGCTTGAGCATCTTCTGGTTGCTGGTCACCTTCAGCCTCAGTCAGTGGAGAAGTGCTCAAGCAAAACGTGTTCATGCTGGGCCTGCGCAAAGTGAGCAGGGCGTCGTACAAAGGTACAGGGGCCCAAAAGGGTGTTGGTGGTGTGGAGTTTCCAATGATGTAACTAAACCCTATACTCTAAACATCAGATTAACCGGGCTTTCAGGTATGTTGGCTGAAGCCATTGCGGCATACAGAAGGATGTGAGGAGACTCATGACCCCAGAACCTGCACCCCAAACCCTGTACCCTAAAACCTGAACCCTAAACCCTGAACCCTCAACCCTGAACCCCAAGCCCTGCACCCCAAAGCCGCAGACAACGAAGCCTCGGGTTTTGTCAGGCAAGAAGTCTGGGGGCGCTGGAGTCCGAGGGTGCTGGGATTCGAGCCTGCGGCCTCCCTGAATTCACCACAGATGCCTGGGTTCGGGGATACTATACATGCTATATGAGAGTTACTACGAAGGTTACTATAATTAAGGATTGCTATAATGTGTACTCTAAGGGTTACTACGAAAGGGTTACTATAAGGGATACTATAACGGGTACTCTAAGCGGTACTATAATGGGAGGTGCGAAAAGACTTTTTTAGGCTGTGCCGTCACCAACAGCTTCGAGTATATCTCGGTTTGGCCGCGGAACCAGGCGACAATGCGCTGATACCGGCTTGCCATGGCGTCGAGGGGAATCTATTGCTTGGCTTCTCTAGCTCTGCGTCGAAGGCCGGCTCATCCGTGCTTTTTTGCCTTTGCTAGGAGTTTCGAGTCGAAGTACTTTCACCTAATCCGATGAAGCCTTAGCCCTGAGTGATATGGGGGATGGCTTGGACTGATAAGTAACACTGCGATGGCAGTCAGTTCCCAATCTTGATGGCCTAAGCTGAAACGCGATGACCCGCCGTGCCTACCTACCCCTTGTGACTGTCTAAATGCCCTTAACAAACAACTGTGAAGTGCCAAGCTTACCCTAATACTTCGAATGCCCAAATGTGGATAGTTGCCGTTTGCAGCATGCAGACTCGTATAGACGCTAGTGTAGGTGGTAGCTTTTGTATTGTGAGTCTGAGGATCGGGGCAGGCTTGAAGATCGAACTTCGTTTTACTGAACTTGAACCTTACAGCCTTCAATTTCCAATTATTCATCCCCGCGCATTTCCAGAGCTACCCGAGAGCTGAGCACCTGCGGACGAACACGAGAGAGTCGTAGCTTATAGGGTTTCAAACCTGAGGTGCAATAAAAGGGTGTGGCCAAGAAGTCTCCCCCTACTTGCACCCCGGCCTTAAGCCCTGTGCCCCAAACAGCCTCTGCAACGAAAGCAAGTAGTGCAAACCACGAAAGCCTGGCCCTTAACCACGCTTTGCGACACGAGCTCTCGTCAACTGCAGGCATGATATAGGTAGTCAGTTTCAAGCACCCGAAGAACCATAAAACCCAAAACCAAATTGAGAAGGTTTCTGGACTTCAGAGCTCTAGGGGCTAGCGGGACCGCGTGCGGTTCTTCATGAACCGATGGCTCTGTGCAGAGCAGAGACAACAGTTCCCAACATGCCGAAGCCCTTACACCCTCAAAACCCCCGACCCTAAACCAAGACGGAACCACCCACCCTGGCTACATCCAAATCCCTGCGCTGAGGGACATTCCCGAACATGGGGCCAGGGTCTTTGTCCTACCAGCTCCTCTCAGGTGTCCAGATTCTCGACTTCCAACCCATTGTAGACACTATTTCTATACTTAGGTTCTTAGTTTGAGACCCTGCAAGAATGTCATGTTACGGAACGCTCAGTAGTGACTCGTAAGATGGGACCCTGAAAATAGACCTTGCCTGTACTCTCCATGGTTGTTCCTTTGTTGGGGTTACGGGGTTGCCGTTTAGGATCCTACATATGAAAACCGAAAACGGGTACACTCAACAAAAGGAACTACAATGAGGACTATATAGGTAGACTATGTATACAGATATACACATACATACATATGTATACCTACGTATCTATCTATATATATATATATAAACATATGTATATGCATGTATCTATAGTAGTTATCATGTGCGTATATATATATATATATATGTAGCCTCTGGATCTTTGAGTCTCAAGGCAAGGGCACGGCGGCGTGACCGAAGCAGTCGGCTGCAAAGCTGCCTTGGCACCCTGGGCAGCGTAGCAGTTTGAAAAGACTTCGAGATTAGTAATACAACCCTATATGCTTCCAGGGAACAATTGGGTCCTTAAGGGGTCTAAGGCCCTAACTATAAGGTCCTTGGAAGCATAGGGTAAGGCTTAGAGCGTGAAGGGTTTAGGGTAGCATTGCAGGCAGTTTTGCCATTAGGTCCCCGGCTGATCCAGAGATAGCAAAAAAAACCATGGCATAAATCCCATTTTTAGGGGAGAGCAAGAGATACCAGAGCCACCAGAAATCCGGACGAGATGATCCGTCTGGCATGGCTACACTGCCCTCAGCCCAGAACCCCAAATCTCCCGAAAGCTGGACCCTAAACCCTAAACACCTCCTCAAATCCGAAAACTCGCAGGTTGTGGGGAGGCGCCTCCAGCGCCTCAGACAGCCGCAGCGTTGACTGGAGCTGCCCCGGCAGCAAGGGCGCCTTGACAGAGAAGCCATCAAGAACATGAGCATTGTCGAACAAACAACACCCGCCTCGGTCGTGGGGCCGGGTCGGGTGGTACGGAATACCACGGGATAGTCGATCGATATCCGACAGCGATGTCAAAGATGGCTGCACAGAGGACACTGGCAAGAGACGCGTGGACAAATCCCAAATCTAAACCCTAAGTCGTGAGCCTGAGCCTAAACCCGAAACTCAACTGCCCAAAGCAAAACACGAATCCCGAAATCTAACTACTTAACTTGTAAGCTTTGCACCTTAGTCCACGAAACCTTCACACTGGACCCAAAACTGAGGTGCACACCTTGAACCCGAAAGATTATCTCCACCACTCCCAGCACACAAGACACTCCCAGCGCCCAAGAATCCAAACCTGAAAAACACTCGCACTGGGCATAAGATCTTGAGCCTGGAGTTATAGCAATACTGCTTATTTTAAGCGTTTAAAGTAATGATGTGAACCCGACTCAGATTTTCTTGCATCCAAACTCCCATCCGCCAAGAACCCTCAACCCCAAAACCCCTTATGAAGCCCCTATAAGAAAACCTAGCACCTAATGCCCCAAACATACCACAAAACCTTCGAACCTGCCTCGAGTTCAGACGCCCTGCGAGACGATGCATCTGTAGGGAAGTCGGAAAGCCTTGCGCGCAGGCGGAGCTGTCGGTATAGTTTTAGGGTGGAGGGTTTTGCTTTTTCGGGCCGTAGGTCGTATAGTTAAGGCTTTCATGGTTAAGGGTTGAACATGGAAACCCTCAAACTGGGAAGATCGCTGCTGGCAAACCGTAAACCTCAACTACACACTAAGAAGCCCTGGCACACCCAAACCCTAAACCCTTACCTGCAGGTATCCCAGAAGTACGTAGAATGATTCCATCTTGAAAGTTGGGCCACTGTTTCACCTACATTTGGGGGTTTAGGTTAGGTGATTACCCCCTAAACCCCTACACTATAATACCCTAAACCCTAAACCGTGTACACTATAATCATGAAAGCCTCAAACCGTAAAGCACCCTCATGCCTGGGAGGCTGCTGGCCAACCGGCGGCGTTCGTGGACGCGACTGGAGGCAGATGGCTACTGAGGCTTTAGGGTTCCTATACGGGTTCCTATAAGAAGTCCTCAAAGAGTTTAGAGTTCCTTTAATCGGATCGATGAGAGGAAGATACTATTAGTATCTAGTCAGACCCCTAGCTCAATAGTTCGCCAACCAGGGGCCTGATTTGCAGGTTGCTGGGAGGATCACGCCCTCAAACAGAAAACCCTCAACCCCAAATCCTAAACCCCTAAACCCTAAGCCCTAAACTCTAAATCCCACAACCGACGCCTAAACCTTGATGCCCAAGCAAGAACAAACGGAACTGGCCAAGCCTGCATTGAAACTGGGCCACCGGCCTTTCTTGGGAACATCCTGCACCCTAAACCGCACACCCATGGCTTCACAAGAACAAGCGCGTAACCCTGTAAACCCCGAACCCTAAACCCCTAAACCCCTTCTCGTGCAGACTTGTACATACTCCTAACTAATCAGACCCCTAAACCCTAAACCTAAACCGCAGACCC